CCTGTCCCTCCCTGCCCCGGTTGTTTCCATGGATCCCTCTCTGTCCTCATGGAAAACTCTTCCCAACTCTCCGCCCCCTCCCCGATTGGATCCCCCGGAGCTCCCAAACCCGGGGCTGCAAAATTCCCTCTCCCCCATCCCCCCAAATATCCTCCTGAACCCTTTTCCCGGCTCTTCCCACCCTCAGGAATGACTCTGGAATTCCTTCTTCTCTCCCGTCCCTCTCGACGTTCCCAAAAAATCCCCGCCTCTTAATTAGGATTTGGATTTATTTTCCAAGTTTTCCGCCTCATTTACAGTATTTTACAGCTCGGGGGGGGGGAAGGGGGGGATCCCAAACCCATCCCACCGGGATTCGGGAGCCGACCCCGCTCCCCGCGCGCATCCAAGGGCTCCAACCCCAAATTCCCGCCCTCCCCCCTCCCCTAAATCCCGGGATCCCAGGAGCGATTTCCAAGGGAAGCGGCGCCAAAACTCCGGGAACGAGGGGGGGGGAGGGAAGAGCGGGAGGGAGTTAAAAAAATCCCGAAATCCTTTGGGATTTTCCCGCGGGACGCTGAAGCTCCGGGAGGATGGGGGTGGGGGAGAAGGGGGAGGGAATTCCCGGCGGGAATTTTTCCCGCCTCACTGCCCTTTCTTGGAGGCGCTTTTCCCCAGGGTGTTCCTGAAGAGCGTCACCAGCGGGGTCCTGCCCTTCTCCGAGCCCATGAACCCCCCGTAGCGTTTATCCAGCGGCGATTCCCAACGGGATTTTCCCTCTTCCCGCCTTTCCTTCCCTTCCTCCCGGCCGTCCCCTCCCTCCCCCAGCTCCCGCCGGAATTCCAGCGGGTATTCCTGCTCCTCCTCCCCCTCCTCCTCCACGCCGTTGGGATACACCTTGACGGGTCTCCTCTTGCGGCCCACGGGTTTTCCCCAGCGGAAATGCTCCATGGAATACGAGCGCTTCCCTTCCTCCTTCCCGCCGGGAATGGGGCTCCCGGCTCCCGGCTCTTCCCGCCGCTGGGAATTCGGGATGTCCCCGGCTCCCTCTTCCCGTTTGGAGCCGCTGCTGCTGTTCCCGTTCCCGAATTTATTCCATCGGAAGTGGCTCATGACGTACCTGCGGATGCTCTCGGAGAGCGGCTGGAATTGCCCGTTCCCGGGATACAGCGGCGCTTCCAAGGAAAGGCCGGCTCGGCACGCGGCGGCGCATTCCTGGAGGGCGGGAATTCCATGGGTGGAATGTTCCGGAGGGAGAACTCGGATGTGGGAGGAAAAAGGGAGGGGGGGACACGCCGGAATCGCGGGAGCGTCCCGAGTGTTGGGAGCTCTCCGGGGAATCCTGGAGTTGTGGGATGGGTTGGGCGAGAAGGGACATTGGAGGTCGTGGAATTCCAACCTCGGCAGCTCCCGCTATCCCAAGGAATCCAACCCGGCCTTGGACACTCCCAGGGATCCAGGGGCAGCCA